GCGGGAGGCAATTCAGTCATTTCTTGTCTTTTCCGTCTTGCTGGATTCTAGCGTGGCCTTTAGTCGGGATTATACGTATGCCACCAACCTTTGCTGTCAGCCCACTGATGGGGTGGTATTGGTGTTTAAGTGATTTAGTCCTGTCAGTATCGATTCACTTGTTTTTCCTATTTGCTATGGGTCATATCTTGTTGTGAGACCTACCGGTCATGTGTATGTTGTATGCATGATGTGGAATGGGATGGTTTTGAGTATGAACCCCCGGAGTATTTGGACGCACACAACTATGGGTATGTGTATATATAAACTACATGTTTGCACGTCCTTTCATAATTATCTGTGTATGCATACCTATTTGACCTTCCATACACATGCATACTCTTTCATATGCGTCTACCAATGCCTACAAAAATGCACTTACATTCATGAAAAACGTGTACATCAACACGTACGGACACTCACACTTCCATGTCTTGCATGTTATTTGTGTCGCTATGTCTGAAAAATCGTCTGGTCGTGTCACTTTTTAAGTTATGTCCCGTTCCTGGTATGTGACCTGTCCGTTACGTTCTTATCCTGTTCTGGTGGATGGTGTGTGTTGATGACGTTCTTGCTGGCGTGCACACTTCATTCCATCTAATCTTATTAATTAACAGCCATGCATCATCATCATGTAGCAGGTCCTTTGCAGAACGCCGCTCTCATCACAGTCTGCCTGAAAGAAACTCGGTCTCGCACCAGTTCTCCCGCCTCATGCACTTTCACACTCAAGGAGTCACTTATATCCTGTGCCCATCTTCGTGCCGATCGACCCCTGTCCCTCCTTCCTGGTACCATGCCTTCTGCTATAATTTTTTCCAATCCGTCATGGCGCTAGATATGACCAAAATATTTCAGTTTTCGAGAAAGGATGCTGTTTATTAGCCAATCTTCCTTGATGTTCAGATCTTTTAAGATGTCAATATTTCTCATCTTCTTTGTCCAAGATATTCTGAGAATCTTTCTATAGCATTTCAGCTCAAAAGCCACTATTCTCTTTCTTAAGGACTGAGAGATAGTCCACGACTCACATCCGTATGTAGCCACAGGGAAGATGCATGCTCTCAAAATTCTAATTTTTATCTCCTTGCTGGTGCTTAACCATAGCCTTTTAAGGCTGTTCAATCTTTGCATTGCTATTGCCATCCTCCTTTTAATTTTTGTCGAACAGTCTCCATTGTTGTTTATTATAAAGCCTAGATATTCAAAGTTTGTGACATTTTCAATTTCTTCATCATTCATTGTTATTTTTGGGTGACAGCCAGTTTTATCTGTGAACATTATTTTCGTTTTCTTTAAATTCAAGAACATGTTTTGATCTTCGCTGTGTTTTTGGACAGACAATATTAAATCTGTCCTCTGAAAGTACTGGGGATTTTTGGGAAATGCCATTCTGGTCTCAAGACTCAGTGAAGGCAAAACCCCAACTGCACCTTCACGCGGTAGAGGACGGTAAACACACTGCGGTGTGGCCAACGCAGCAATGGGGACCGAGTATCCGCCGGGATAATTGGACACCTCTGGGGTGCCCTCTGTTGTTAGCAGGGCACTCACTTGCCCTAGCAATCGAAAAGGTTGCTGAAGGCTGAGGACATAGTCTAATGTGGAAAGCAACGGAAAACTACCACATTACTATCCCAAGAAACTCATCATGGAAACAGCAATGCAACAACATAATTTATGTGTTCCTGGAGTGCACTGTCATTCCCACACACACAAATATATAAATATACACACTCCCATATATATATACATACACACACACACTCATACACACATATACATGCATACAAAATTACATTTCTATATTCATGTAATCGGTTATCTGTACCTTTCGTACAGCTATATTCCCACTTTCCTGTCCATATGTGACCCCTTACCATTCGCCTACATACATCTTGTCTTATGTATCCATCCTATACATAGATGCTCTCATACTACATGCACTCATCCTTGTGTATCCACACATGTTCACTTCTATGCACCCATCATACTTACACTACCTCCCTTACGCTAGGGTGTCTGGAGTCACCATCTGATCAGTTCCTTCTGCTGTCCTGAGTTGTATCTTCAACATGGTCTTTTTAGTTTTGGTTTGTTTTTATAAGGTACTGTTTGACAAGTTTTTGGATGTCTTTATTGCTATCCACCTTTAGACATTTGTTAGCAGTAATCTGTTGTTTGCGTTTTAGAAAATACTCCTCAATGTATTTAGTGCAGTTTATCATATAATGTTCTATTGTATTATCCTGAAAGCAGTCCAGACATAGAGGAGATGTAAATTTCTCTGGATGCCACCCTAACCTAGCTCTCCATAGTAGTTTGTTAGCTGGCATTTTCAGTTTGTCCTGTACCTGTGTGTTTAGGCTGGGTTCTTTAAGGTTGATGTATGCATCTCTGCCTTAAGTTCTCCACTGCCATTGGAGTTTCCACATTTTAATGATATGCCTTTTGATTATGCTAGTTCTTTCAGTTTTTCCGATTCCTGCATCTACTAAAACATTTAGTTCTTTTTTGGGCTGCTTGGTCAGCTTTTTCATTGCCTATTACACCTCTATGTGCTGGTACCCATGCAATGGTGACTTGGCATCCTTTATTCTTGAGTTGGGTTGTTAGGTTTAAGATCGTTTCTTTAATATCTGGTCTACTGCTAGTTTTATGTATTTTTCACGACTGCACTGATGACAACGAATCTGTCAGCATGGTAAATTTAGTTGGAGGTTTATTTATTACCATCTCTAGTGCCTTCATTATGCCGAATTATTCTGCTGTGCATACTGCCACATGATCTGTTATTTTATATTCTCTTTGCACTCCCCATTGAGGGATAATGACTCCTGTTCCTACTTCTCCTGCTTTGTTTTTAGACCCATCAGTATATGCAACTAGGCTGCCTGATCGCATCTGGTCTATGTATTCTTCTGTTATTGTCAGCTTCAAACAGTTCAGTTCAGTTTTATTAATAGTTTTCATCAGACTAATGTCTGTCCTAGGCAGTTCTAGTCTCCATGGAGGAATTTGAGGGATAAACCTAACGCTCGCCTCTAGAGTCCTAGCTAAGTCCTCATTATCGTTAATTTCTAGTGCAGCGTCCCAGGTTGCTGGTCTCAGTATATCTCTAATCGGCCTGTCACCTAGGTGGGTAATATTATGATGAAAAGCGTCTGCGGATGGGTGCCTGACATCGTTGCCCGCTTTCAGCCAATAGTTATAGGGTAATTGCTTCCTTCTGAGGTTAAGCAGTGTTATGCCTAGTGCTACCTCCATGGCCTCTCTCGATGTCCCTTAGACTGACTGACTGACTTTCTACCCCACCAGGGCATCACACAAGCGATAAACACCCGATGACACAAAGTGCCACCATGTGGATGAGGATCGCCGTGAAGAGGTCCCAGAAACCGCGTTCAGACATTTGGCCATATGTATGGCCTGCCTATATTGCGGCCCCTGGCAGAAGCCAGAGTAGGGCTTCAAATGACGAAAAATTTCGTCCTTTCAAGGACGAAATTGAAAATAATATAATGTCCCTTTGCCAGCGCCCATGATGGAAGTAAGAGCTTGGCACTGAATCCTATCAAGTTTGCATTTGCTGTTCTCTTATGCTGATTTGTACACTACGCTTCCGTTTCCATTTTACCTCTAACGAATGCTTTTTAAAACTGTATTACGGTGTCTTGTTGTTCTCGATGCGGTGAGGTGGCTTAAGTTTGAAGATATTGTATTTACAAATAAAGAATGTTTTCAATTTATGGACTGTTCGCTGCAAGGGAAGTAAGTCATGTAATAATAAGTGCAGGAAAATTGAGTTGCCTTGCCTGAAACTAAGTGCAGATGCAAAAAAAAAAATTTTTTTTTTTTTTGAAAATTACTATGTACGCAATTGTTGTCAGTTAAAACAACGGATATCTTTTTGGGGGGTTGGGGAAGGGAGAGGAGGGAAGACGAACTGGGGTTTTAACAAATGTTCCTAATGGCTATAACTATAACAAAAATACACGAAATCAGAAGCAAAGTTGTATACAACAGAAATAAATTTATGACAATGAAGTTCTCCTTGGGGGGTGGGGGGATACAACAACATGTAATGAAGTCAGTGCTGTTTGAGTTGTTGAACAGGGACCAGTTTTTCGGTAGGTATACTAGCCACTACATCAAGGCGACTTCTCAAAGTCCATGTCGTGTGGCGTTGGTAGTCATGTCTATCCACAACCTACTGTCTCGTTTATTTTTAGTCATCTCTGACATAGATGATCTTCCATGCCATGATTTCAAGCTGTCCAGCATCTTTTCTCTTGGTCTCCATCTGCCTCTCCTCCTCTCCAACATTTATACCGTTACGAGTTACTCTAGTTTTCTACTTCTCATTACATGACCAAGGAATGTAGATTGTCTTTTTCTGGTGCGGGCTATCAGTTCTGTTTGTGGGTCAGTTTCTTTCAAGACGTCTTTATTACTCATTTTATCTGTTCAGATTATTCACATTATTCCTCTATAAAACAACTTCTCCGCAGCTTCCAAAAAAGTTTTCACTAATTTACTAACTGTCTATGATACATATTCTCATATCAATATAGGATTTTATATAACTTTTAAGAACTCTCTTTCCTATTTCAATTGACTATGATTGAGTGCATACAATTTTCTTCATAGTCAGGGCGGCTACACAATAATAATGTTAAGACACTTATTTAGCGTCAACAAATTAAAACAAAAGCAACATAAACAATAGATTCTAAAGGTGATACAAAGAGATATACCAAACGTTTACAGTGCAGACCTAACAAGTAAAATTCTTCGGGGATCCAAGAAACGATTCTTCTTACTAGAAATTCATCTTATCATGATACGAGTTCCAGTAAGAGAAATTTCCGGGAATAAAAAAAAAAATAGTTTTTCCAAAAGAAATTCTCCACGTCTGAGATCGCCTTAAATGGTCTGCACTGTATTGACAACAGACTTACCTGCAAGCCTGAGAATATCTTACTAAGCAGTTCATACACTTGGTGAAATTCACTTGTCACTTCAGGTCGGTATATGAAGAATAGAAACTGAATGCCGAATACAGGAACGAGCACCACTACAGCTTTCACAGCCCGTCTATAGAAGAAAGAAAAATGGGTATGTTTTTTATGGAAATTACATCAAAATAAAATCAGAGTGTAGTGTAAAATATTGTAATTGCTACCAAACACCAAATATTACTGAGATCCATAAACATGTCATGTAAAACTAAGCTTTGACTGTTCAGGGCAGTAGTTTGTATGTTTATCCACGGTTGTGAAACGTGGACCTTAACAACTGAACTCCAGAAGAAGACACAAGTTTTGGAAATGTGACTTTTCAGAAAAAGTTCGTGTCATATCATAGAGACCACATCACACATGTCGGAAGAATTGGATGCAAAACTTGACTAACTAGAAAAGACTTAGGCATGCAACCATAAACTCCATCGCATTCAACCATCACAGGTACAGGGAGCTGATCTGACAGCCAGCAGCAACTGGTGAACCCTCGACACGCAGTTAAGGGATGATGATGGTGATAGTGATTATGATAATGATGATAATAATGATGAATGTAAATCTGATTCTTCTAACACAGTTAAGGCATCAGGTGTAAATACTGGACTCGTTTTACGAGACTAAGTCAATAAGTTAATCACAGATCGGTGTTCAAAATAAGCACCCTTGAGGTTTTCGCAGAATTACCTCCAAAACTGTGGTCTATTCTTGAGAACTACTTGCGGTAGATGGCGGGGGGGGGGGGGGGGGTGGAGAGAGACGGGGGAGGGGGGCGCTGTGTGGATCCTAATATAAAAGAGTTGAAATAAAACAACTATAAAACAAAATAAGTTATTGTGTCAAATTTGTTAGTCTGGGCACAGACGGGGGGGGGGGGGAGAGGAGGAGGGGGGGGGGGGGGGGGGGGGATACATACTACATAGAGAAATGTACATTTTAAATAGTAAAGTAAAAGTAAAGGACTCCATTCCAGGCCTTCAGACGTATCGGACGTATAGGTGTAGACCTATAATTTATAGACCAATGATCACTTTGTGGGCGATGTTGTCAATATCACGCGGGTCGTCTCTACTTTCTTTGACTTTGCCTGGTATACATTTAAGCCTAGGTAGACCCGGGAGCCAAAGTCATGATTAAAAAAAAAGGTAGGCAAAGTAGTCGTGGTTAAGTAGCAGTAACAGTTTACAGCCATTTATGTTCTCATATGGCTGAATCTCTATAAAGCCTTGAACTGTTAAAGAAACTAATCTGGCTTCGCGGATTGAAAACAACCTAAAACGGTTATCGGTAGTTGAGGCTGCAATCGTGATATCTGCTGCAGCACCTTCAAGTGCAAATAGTTCTATTAAGACCCAACACATTCCCCAAATGTCCAACATTTCTCCATGTGAGGAAAAGAGTGCTTCACCGCTTTAAGCCTGAAAAGATATCAGTCGAAACGAAAAGTGCAACATGTGAGTATTACATTGTCTCAATCGTAAACAACAAGCACATGTTGCAGGTAGAAATGCTTCCTTAGCACATGAATAGACAATATTACATTTACAAACAAGAATGCTGTACACTCAAGTCACTTAACCGAGGTATTTCCAAGAAAAATCCACATGTCTGTCTTGCCAGCTGAAGCTCCTAGGAACATGTGAATACAGGAAGAAAATTCTTTTAACCTGAAGTGACTCACCTGAAGTTACTTGGTTCGTTTGGATGTGGTTCTAGCTGCCTGACCATGATATAGACAATTCTCAGTAGAAATATGACATTGGCCTGGGAATATAGAGAAACGTTTCTGCATTTTGATTTAAGGGGTCACTACAGGAAAAAAATTTTTTTTTTTACTTACAATGTTAGACCAATTATTTTATAATGGTCATTTGTAGGGAAGTATGTTGTTACGGCGGCGTCCGTGGCTAAGGCGTTGCGAGTCCGACTCGTAAGCCAGCATACCGCGATCGAAACTCACTGCAGGTTGCGCGGATTTTTGTCGTGGTATGGGACGTCGCAGGTCGACCCAGCCTAAAATGGGTACCAGGATGGGCTGTCCTGGGAAAGTAAAGACAGCCGGCGTAATGCTGACCACATTACCCACAGAGTGCTGACGGTCTGTAAAAATATGGGACGCTCTGCCCATATGCCCGATGCGCCGAAAGGCGTGAAAAGGGAACTTAACTTTTTTTTTTTTTTTATGTTGATACGAATGTAGACTTCAAGTTTAAAAAGCATGGTTGCCATGGCAACAGCCGCCATCTTGATGAAATAACAACATATACTTAGCTAAAATTTCATAAACAAACAGAGGTATTGAGAAACAGATGATCGATTCATGAACTTTAAACCTATGTTTAGGGTCAGGTCTAGTTTATTTACTTCAAAGATGTTTCTAAATATATTTTTAGAGTATTACAATTTAGGTATGTTCAAAACATACAAAAATGTAGATTTTTAAGACAATAATCAAATTTTAAATTAAATTACTTAACAAACTGTAATTTCAAATAGACCTGACCCTATAATATTGTGTTAGGAGTATCCACACCAAATTTTACGTCTCTAGTCTTTATATTAGCTGAGATTTTAGGAGATCCCACACACAACAAACAGAAAAATAGAATTGTTAGAAAAGTGATTTTTAATCTTTTTTTTTTATCTTAAAAAAGTGCATAGGTTGGTGTCTTTAGTATTAACTTTTCAATGCTAAATTGTTTACCAATGACACAAATTTTGTGTGTAATCTATTCTACGAATGCCGAACATTACAAAAATGAACACATTGGAAAAGTGATATTTTTGTCATAAATTGGAAAAAAAATGCCGTGTAGTGACCCCTTAAGATTCCCTACAAGAGCACTGTTGAATACAGCATTTTTCTTTTAACCCAGTTCTGTGTTATCAGTGTAAAACGTGGACATTATCAACAACAACAAAATCGAAACAACAGAAATGAAATTTCTACGACAAATCCTAAATGACATTAGAAGAGACATAATTAGAAATGACGATTTAAGGAGAGAAGTTATGACGGAACCGGTTCGAAACTATTACATCAAGATACAGCAGATCAAGTGGTTTGGACAATTGTCAAGACTACCACCATACATCAAACCAAAGAGAGCTATGTCACTTAAAACAGTGGAAACAGGACCAGAGGTCGACCACGCAAGCCATGGATAGATGGAGTATCTGAGGTAGCAAATACCTGCATCTGCGTTGCATATACCAAGGCTGTCACTCGATGCTTTTTCAAAACATGACGCTTAAAGGCAGTACATGGCTAGAGCAGAACTTATATTCTGGTTTACAAAAACTCCATCAACATACATAACCCTGTATTCTCTAGCACAGTACAGTCTGTAGTCTGTTTGCTAAAAGTTGAAGTCGGTAGGATCGAATTCATTGCACAGGGTTATATCCCATATGACTCGGCTTCTCTCTGTAGAAAGGCTATCCGCCTGCCGAGAGCATCGCACAGAGCAAGGACTGTGTAACTCCGGCGACAATCCCCAGGGACCTGTGTAATAACAGCGCCCGTGAACTAAACGACGCAACACTGAAACGAACACAAGACCTTTGGAGCGCGAGGTAAACGGTTTTACCCCTTCGCCACGGAGACTTCCAGTCTGTCTGTCTGTTAGATTCTGCTAGGCATAATGTATATTATGGTTGTCAGATACTGCTAACCAAAGTACAGCCTAAATTCTCGTTGTTAGATTCTACTCACCAAAGCAAAGTCTATATTCTGGTTGTTAGATTCTGCTAACCAAAGCAAAGTCTATATTCTGGATGTTAGATTTTATGCTAACCAAAGCACAGTCTATATTCTAGATGTTAGATTATGCTCACCAAAGCACAGTTTATATTCTGGTTGTTAGATTCTGCTAACGAAAGCACAGTCTTTGTTTTGGTTGTCAGATTTCGCTAACCAAAGCAAAGTCTTTATTCTGGTTGTCAGATTCCGCTAACCAAAGCACAGTCTTTATTCTGGTTGTCAGATTCCGCTAACCAAAGCACAGTCTACATTCTGGTTGTCAGAGTCTGCTAACCAAAGCACAGTCTAAATTTTGGTGGTTAGATTAAGTAATGTAAATTCTGTATTCTGATATTCATTGAATCAACCGGTCAGCATGTCCTTTACAGAACTTCGCTCTCTTCACGGCACTACTGAAAGTCTCTCTTGCTCTAGTTAATTTCCCAGTCATGTGTGCTTTCATAGCCAGTCTTCAGTGTCCTCCAGTATCCACCCTTGCCAGAAACTGCACCCTTATCACCATTCCCTTCAGACTACAATGGAGCTTGACATGTCTAAAACATCTCAGAGGATGCTTTTTACAAGCCAATCGTTCTTGATGTTCGGGTCATTCAGGAAGTTGACGTTTTTCTTCTCCTTGGTTCTCGGTATTCTAACATCTTTCTGTAGCACTGCACTTCAAAAACTTATATTTTATCTCCACAAAACTGAGTGAGAATCCATGACTCACACCCATAAGTTGCCACGAGAAAGATTCATGATCTTACAATTTGTTTACTTAAATTTGCTTCAAGGTGCTTTGCCATAGGTTCTTCGTGCTGTTTAGCCTCTTCATAATAAGTAAAAATCGACCCCATGTGGTATGCAATCTTTTGTTATTTGAAGCCTCACCCTGGCTTCTGCCGGGGTCCTTAAATATAACCGGGGCATAAATATCGCATAGCCATAGATATGGCATAACGGTTGAAACGAATTTCTGTGACCTCTCCACGGGTGATCCTCATCTGCATGGTCCCACTTTGTGTCACCGGGTGTTTATCAATTGTGTGATGTCCTGGTGGGATACCACTAAGACCAACTAGCCTCCCTATTGCTAAACCAAATCAAGTACTACTAGCAAAACCGAGTTTTTATTGTGGTTATACATTACACTAAGGCAAAGTTTACACTGTATTCTGGCTCTACAAAGCGCAGTACAAAGTGCATTCTGGTTTTTAGATTGCACTAACATAAACCACTCAGTGTCTTGCGAAATCTTCTCAGAAACATTTTTTTTAACCTAATTAACTCTGAAACCTTCTCAGAAACGGTGTTCTCTGACATACTGTAATTAACTGAGTTCGAAGTTTGACATCTCGTGAGCTTAACACCAACGTCATAGCACTGGTAAATTCTGATCTTATACACCCTACCCCGTCCCACAAATGCACCCCGTCCGCCTCACTCCACCTCCTACAAATCCCCACACGTTATCGAAAGCAACAATGGAAGTTGCTATTTTTGAAGCGTTAAATTATCTTAGCCAAACCCTGCGGTAAGAAATGGGTAAGTGTGACAAAAATGAACACCTTCGCCGTCTCAGCAGTTTCTACAAGAATGCACATCTTTGATGAACATGCAAATAATGAAGTTGGGGTTTCACCCCAAGCTGTTTGTTTCATGCTTGTGAAATAAAGTTTTATTTAGATGGTCAGTATTCTTGTTTTCAAGCTGCTGATGTCGCGTCTGTGGTTTGGGGAGTGGGAACGCAGTGTCATAATCCCGTAAAACCACAATTCAGAGTCAGCTGCAAGTGATTTGGCATCATACTGTTATGAGTTGGTTTAGACAATGGTGTGAGTGTCCTACTGATTCTGAAAGTGAACGCAAAATGCTGGACGTAACTCTTAGTCTTAGTCGAGGTTTCAACATAGCTGCAATCAGGTTTTCCCCATACTTGCTCCGTTCCTGTGCCTGTGCTAATCAAATGAAATGTCCCTCACTGTCGCATTTGAAAAACTTGTGAAGAAAGAAATAGTCCCGGAACAATCCAAAAATGTGCACGCAGTAAATCAATCAATCAGCTGCCGTCTCCACAATGAAGGTTGGCTGCAATGGATCTCCAACAAGCCCTGTCTCTTGCCCTTGATGTACACTCACTCATACTACTGTTCGTCCATCTCTTGATCTTATCCTCCCACTTGTAATGCTGTTTGCCTCTTGCTCGCCTACCTTGAACCTTTCCCTCTAGGATGATCTTGACAATACTGTTATGTCTTTTAATGTGACCAAAATATTTCACTTGTCTCTTTTTTATTTCACCTAGCAACTCTCTTTTCATTCCCAATTTCCTCAGTACCTCTGTATTTGATAGCTTTTGTTTCCATGAAATACGACCTAATCTTCTGTATATCCACATCTCCAAAGAACTGATACGATTTTCCAGTTGTTTGTTCATTGTCCATGTCTCTGTGCCATACAGTAAGGTTGAGAATACATAACATTTGACAATTCTCATTTTTAATGTATTGCTTATTTCTCTTGATGTCAGTAACTTTTGCATGTTGTTAAAAATGTTTTTGGCCATCCCAATTCTTTTCTTGACTCCTGTTTCACTTCTGCCGTCACATGTTATTATTTGTCCAAGAAATTTTAAACTTGTTCCAATTTCACCCCGTTCACTGTGATATTCATTGTTAGCTGATTATTTTCTTTGCTAAATATCATGGTTTTTGTCTTTTTCAAATTAATATCTTATTCAAATTCTGCACTCCTTCTGTTTACTTGCTCCACTAGGTCTTGCAACTCTTGCTTACTCTCTGCTAGCAACACTGTGTCGTCAGCATATCTCAGATTGTTTATTATTCTACCATTGATGTTCAGTCATGGTAATTCTACAATTTCTTTAAAAATGGTTTCTGTACATAAGTTGAAAAGGCTAGGCGACAGTACACATCCTTGTCTTACTCCTCTCTTGATCTCTATCTGGGGTGAGCAGATGTTGTCATATCTTACTGTTGCTTCTTGCTCCCAGTATACGTTTCTAATAAGTTTGATATCCTTTCCATCTAGTCTTATGCTTTGAAGAGCTGCAATTAGTTGTTTATGTTGCACAACTTATACGCAGTAAATGCGTATTTCAGTTGTTAGAGACGCCAAAGCCAATAATCGCCACACGAAATTCAGTTTCTCGTTGATGAAAGTAGTCGGGCACAATAACTTGGTTACTTTACACATGTAGAATTATTACATAAGGTATTTCCTAACTCATACATAAATCCGCTACCGGCTATATTCAGTGCAACGACACAAACGCTGCACAAATGAAAGGCATTCCACGGTGAAAACACAGCCCACCCGACTGCAACCAAGCACTAAACTCAGTAGCTCAGGCAGCGAAACCGCAGACTACAGTCCTAATGTGGAAACCGCATCAGCAGAGCGCTTTCGGAAGCAAAAACAGCTTCGAAGCTCAACATTCTGCCAATCCTATATTCCATTTTGGACGTAAGTACTTACAGTGATGCCTCGGTATACGTCCTTCAAACGTTGCAGATCCATCGATAGATCAACATACGTACCTTGCTGAAAAAGAGTTGAGTGCTACTAAGATGGTACTGAGAAGGGAGGAGGAGGAGGAGGAGATGTTAGTGTTTGGAAGGAGAGTCCACTTCCAATAAAACTTCAGGAATCTTAAATTCTGGAGCGTTTCTTTTATCTCTTTTTCCTTCTTGGAACTGGCTGGAGCCCACACTTTAAATTTTACTTTAAAAAAATATGTCCAAAAGACTTTGCCTCTGCTTTCTCCTCTAGACGTTTAGGAAATGTGACATTGTCTGGTTTTTCCTGACAATGCTATTACGGACAATATTTCGACAGCTTTTGAATGAAATAGGTCCCGTTAACATCGCTGAAGCAGAAATTAAGCCAGTCGACAAGACACTTGATGATAATGCACCCTTTTCCACTGCTGACAAAAAAAAAAAAAAAAATGGCAGTGTTGTAAATGTTCCCCCGTTAAGGAAATTTAAGAAGTCATTTATAAATGACTGTAACGAATCACAACTATTTACATTAATGTTAGTAGGGAAAAGAATTTTAAGAATAGGATAGATTAATGTCGTAATAGGATGAGAAATAGGATGGATTAATGTCGTAACCTAAAGTTGAACTATATGTACATATTTGTGTATGTGTTTTGTGTTTGTGCGTTTGGTGTGTGTGTGTGTGTGTGTGTGTGTGTGTGTGTGGCCATTTTATTAACAAGACATTGCTAAAATCCTGACTGTGTTAAACATGTTCATTTATGTAATGACGTTTTCCTGTTTCTTTTAAACTAATAGAACCTTTGAAACATAAT